TTTCATCGCCGACACTCAGTGAGCCAATCCATACGTCTCACTTCGGCACCGATGAACTGGGTTGGAGCAGGGAGATGTTAAACATCAAAGTGACGTTTATTTGCATGGTGCCAGCTAAATTATGCCTGTTGGTGTTGAGTATGATACCGGCAGTTTCTCTATAAACCCGAGCTTCTCTTGCACCGACTGTGTATCCCTTCACGTTGTAAATGCAGCAAGGCGCTTGAAGATCGGCAATGTTGCTTCCCTCCCCTGGACCAGGTCCTCCATAACAACCGGCTGGATAGTCAGCAGTAACCTGGTAAGGGATATCAGGTTGTCTCTGGGCTGCTGTTTGCGTCACAATGGCAACCAAAAAGAGGCCGTAGGGGAAAGGCATTACGAATAAGACTTAACCTGAAGAGTTTGTTGATGAGAGTTCGAGGGTTGTAGTGAAGAAGGGGCAGTTCTCGAACAGCGAGAAGAAAAAAACCTCAGGTTCATGGAGGCATAATTTATGAAGCATAAACTTTATTGTATACGGGCGGACTGCATAGCTATACTTGCACGTGTACGTCTATTCTCTACGTGTACGGGCCTGAGCTGGGTGGAATGAGATCAGGGGGCACGTTTTGCGTTGAGTTCGTCGATTGGCACTCAACCTAGTCGATGCCAGTGACTCTGGCAACACAATCCCAAAGAGAAATGCAGGTATCAGATATTACTTGAATACAGCCAACGACGCTGGCGGGAGTGCCATCAGTAATCCTTGAAGGAATCCACAATCTCTTCTCGATATAATTTATTGTTGACACGTGTACACGTGAACACGCTTTGCAGTGCTAGATACACAGTGTCCATCTTTCCACTTCACACCGGTAGGGCCGTACAGTCGGACTGTCCGACTCGGACAACAAAAAAAACTAATAGTGGACGATCGGAATCGAACTACACATAGTGAATCGATATAACGCGGCTGACTAACAGGCCAACAGGAGTCACACCGTCACTAAGGGGGATACCCCAACCATAAGCGGCCGTTGATCACGATCGTGTACATTGTCAATTCGGTAATGCAGAGGTAATCTCGTCTCCTTCACGGCTCAGAGCTTATGGGTGATACTTATCCTGCCTATCAGCATTCAACTGATGCAGTTCAAACTGCCAAATACCGTAGGTCATGTGGCCCATTGACCCAAGTGTATTATAGTGTCTACTCTCAGGTGCATGTGAAGTGGGAGACTGTGGGACCGATAGTGTGGGTCTTGCAGCATTGTTATATGCGTATGTATATATGGCTTCGTCATTTCTGGCAGAAACTAGAGTCTAGTTACTAGACCTAATGCTTGGAGTTGGACACCTGTTTTGCCCAAAGCTTCAACATATGTCCTGATGACATAAGCGCGCGCCAGGGGTGGGGGACCCAGAGAGAGCGTGCCTAAAGCTTTCACGCAATCACGCAGGTGCGACCTGCCTAATCAATAGGGCTGCAAATGAAAGAGCTAAACTTAAATGAGCCGTGGAAATTGGCTGATTATCCGTGTACACATAGATCTCTATGCTAATGGGTGCCCTCCCAAGTATGGTTGAAACTGAAATTCTGTGAGGAGAGATTGGTCTCGAAATGTTCGAATTCACGTGGGGCTGCTGTACTGTCCCAATAGGGACAGCGCTACTTGTATTCTTGCTCGCCTCTTATTTTGATATCTAATATCGCCTTTTATACAGTGCGATCTAACGGCCTCATTCGAGTCGAAACGGTTGCTCTATACGTCCTGCTGATTTTTGCTTTGAACAAAAAAAGAGATTAAATAGAAAGGACTTTTGGATCTAAGGATTCAAGTAGAACCTCTACATATTCTGTACTTCGAGCTCGTCTAACCACTCGCTCGTGTACTCGCCCGCAGTTTGCACTAGTATCGCTCTATCTAGTTGTGTTACAGGAGCTGCACGGGATGCTACTTGGATCAGGAACGAAATTAATAATTTCGTTCCGGATCCAAGCAGCATGATGCTATGATAATTTGAAATTATCTACTCGTCGAGTAGATAATTTCAAATTATCTACTCGTGATCGCCCAATGTTATCTCATGATTCTATAGCTTCAACCCCTCCTTCACCATCGTCTAAAAACGCAGCTGCACTACTTGGAACCACATCTACGTCGAGACCACTACTGGTTTCTTCTAGGTCGCCCCTAAGTTGTCCCGTACACTGCGTGAATATGGCGCGTGCTAAGGTGTCGTGAGAGCAGTTTTACGGGAGATAGGAGATTGATTCGACGAATCGGGTTCTGAGATCTTCGCCTATTAGTGGTACAGTAATGCATGGGCATGACGTGTTCCATATTATATGCGAACTCGCGCTCTGGTGTAATGAATTTTAGATTATTGTATCCAACTGGTTTCTTTGGTTGCACCAGCTTCATTTAGCAAGAGCATCTATCTCATGTTGGAGACTCCGCTCCAACGCTCCAACGCTCCACCGTGGAGTGTTGTAGATGGCCTCTGTTCGATATATGGCTTAAGTCTTATAACTCTATTGGTGTTGCTCAGTTCATACTGATCGTGTTTGCAATGTGGAAAATGATGCATAAGGAGGTGGTAATATATGGGCAGTGATATACGGACGATATTATGCTACGCAAGCAGACTATTGACATAGTGCGATACATCGTTACTGAATATTCTCGAGAAGTTTGAGTCATACAATTCTTGTGACGGATTCTACACTTGTGCGGATAAATTGAACCCATAAATGCCCGGTTTTCGTTGGAGCCAGATGGCTCGCGAAAACCGCCCCCTTTCCCCCTCACTAAAATAACTTTCAGGCGTAGATCCGCGACTCGCGGACCGCGAACATTCGTCATTGGAATCTTTCCTGCCACGTGCTAGAGTTGCTTTAAGGTTTAATATAGTGTATCTGATGGGACATACCGTATGTGAACTGATCACTGATGAGGAACTGAAATTTCCCGACTGAGGCCGATCCCCTTATTCTTCTGGCAGCAGGTCTACTTGATGCTCAGAATCGGGAATTCGAAAGTTGCACGTTCGACATGAGCCGAGACTGGCATCGGTGGGCCACTAATATCGACGCTGGTGCACACCACGTGGGATTTGCTCACGCAGGTGACACAGCATAGATGTCTCGGTTCGTGTGTGAAGAAACGCCCTATAACATATCCAACGGTCCATTTGGATGGTATACGCATCAACTTTGTATTTATCAAAGTATAATCAAAAGTAGCGTACTTGTGTATATACTAGAGTAAGTCTATGTCGAGTTACTCTTGGACTACAACAACATGCGAATCAGATACAGCCCAGTGGTAGTTCGACAAGTTGTCGACGACAACGTAGTCTCATCGCAATAGCTATTATAATACTCATTGTGGGTCTACAGTTGACGGAGTTTTTCGTACTTATTTATAATAAGAATAGCGAGGAAGGTGTTGAGACTTTTGGGTCTGGCGGCAGTTTTTCATGACACATAGCGCTATAATGATCGGTAACTCTCGAGTGGCCTTCAAGATGAAGAAGAAATCTTCGTTTCTGTCGATGTTCATATCCTCGAATAGCTGATCAAGTCTTATCAGTGTTGTATTATATATATGTTTGCTTTCTTCGGATAGGATCAGCGGTCTCCTCGGTGATTATAGTAGATCACTTGCGAAGAATTGTACAGAGACCAACAAAATGTTACCCAAAATTCCCATCGAAATTTTCATATTGTCATATGTACATATTTCCCCACATAGAGCCTGATCACATCCTTCCTCTCAGTAAATGTATGATACTTGACAAAAAGGACACTATAGCGGTTTTTGAGTTTTCTTCGCGCGACCTGGTTTTCTTTATTATTATCTTTTTTTTACACCTCTCGAACATCTGGTTCGTTTTTGGAACCATGAAAACACTAGTGAAAAACATACTTTACGACTGCTGCATACCACCGCGAATGTCGCGTTTTTCACTGAGTTTTTTTGCCACTCCACGTAAAAGGGATGAAACTCTACTGATTTATTATTCAGATTCAGGGCCGTGCTTTAGCGTTGGCCGCCTACGAGTCAGAAAACTTCCCGAGGAGGGTTGTTGGTTGCTCTCACATTAGCATGTAGGTTATTTATCGCGTGTTTTGATATGTGATTTTTCTTCAGTGTGCCTCCTGTTCAACGCGGAATCGGCCGAAGACTGTCACCACAACGGACCTGTGCCGAGCTGCTGCGTGTAAGACGATTTTTGTATATTTTTATGTCATGCATATCGATACGTTTTTGACTGTTCGTGGAGGACCTTGCTGAGATTTTTGCTATGTCCTTCCAAGCACACTATGGGGTTTTCGTTTTTCCAATTATTTAATCTGTGGAGATGGTTGTTGTAGTCGGTTGGTGTATAGTGCTCGTCAATTTGATATCAAAATGTCAATAATTTTTTTTGGTATTTTTCGGGGTTAGTAAAAATCGATCTCAGACTATATGAACATTTGTATTGTGATAATAGTAACCTTTCGGGACTATGATAGCGACGAGTTACTCACTATCATTAATATCAGTATAGAAAACGCATACTCTTTGCATTTTCATATCATTGGTATTTTTATCTGCAGAGTTTCCGGTGATGAGCTCCAGGTAGGCGAATTCGATAGTCGTATATTGAAGCTAGCTTCAAAGGACTATAAATTCCTGTGTAGATATCCGTGGTTTCCAGATGTGAATGAAGCCTGCTGCGCCCGGGTGCTCGGGCACGTGCAGTTCAGAAGGCGAGTGCGTGAATATAATTGAGTAAGTGCGGTCATCTGTTTTTGGAAATTTCTGACTCAGCCGAACGGAGAACGGCTCGTCTTCGGGCATCATTTCGGTGTCTTATGATTATAAGCATTCGAAAGAACTAGTTTTCCAAGTAAGAAAATTACAACCGATTTTTTTCCTATCCGCGTTGTTTTTCAGACTGTTCGATTAAGTAATACAGTCACCGAGACCACAGTTCACGAAAAAGTATATTCTGAGGCCTCGCCGCCTTCTGTGCTAGTTTGTGTGGAAAAATCGGGCCCGATCGGAGGCAAATATTTGAAAGCTGGTTGCTCTGAGATGTTCGACGTGGCGATTTCGGAAGGAGCTGTTCTGCAGGGTTGTAGTTTTGGTTTCAGTTCGAAAGGCGCGACGTGTTTTGTGAGAGTGTATGCGCGTAATTGCACTCATGTGGAATCGTATGCTACGGAGATCTACCCTTTGTTGAAGAAGGTTCTGAGAAAAATGGTGAAGAAAGCGGAGAAATTGGTGACACCAATTTGGTGACGAAAAAACAGTACAGTAGATTTTACGAACCAGGATGCGCATAAGTCGTCGTCGTAGCTTGCGGCGAAGAAAAGTAATCGAGGTTCCCTCGTCACTGAGATAGTTCAGCAGGAGCGGTTCTCTGTCGCTGCTGAAGAAAACAGCAAAGAATTGGCGGCTATTTTAGCAGGCAACAAGGGTCTGTCTGTTGACAAATACGAAATATGATATTTTCAGATGAAGACATACGTGCACACTTATACATCAGAATTGTGTATTTTTCAATATTTATTAGAAGTATCCTTATTGTATCAAGTACGCATAGTTATTAAGGAAAAAGGAGAAAAGGAGGGGAAAAAGGAAAAGAAAAAAGGGAAAGGAGAGAATCGTCAAGTCGGGCTTAGAACAAGTGTGAAGCCCAAAATCGATGGGGAAAGTTTGTCAACCACAAACCATTCTTCATGTTGCTTCAGGACGTTATTATTCAACCGATTCCGAGTTGAGGCTTACAACAAAATTTCTCACCAGAATAAAAAGAGTTCCATTACTCATCTCAAACATATGTATAGCGTCATATATCATCATAACCATGCCGCGTTTTATGCCGACGGGTCTTCAGAGAAACGTACGAGCATCTGAAAGGGAGACATAAAAGATATTTAGAGAGCGTGGTATCACTCATTTGAGATGAGCTATCTCAAACGTATATATAGCTTCGCATATCGCTATGATAATAATGCATAAGTATCTGAGGGCGAAACACGAGATGAACTCAGGCTTATAGATGGGCAGCGTAAGGTTTTCTACGGTTTACGTTACGGCGGGCATAACTTAAGCAGCTTACGGTTACGGAGAGGCCTGACGACTTTACGGTTGGTGCTGAACTGCTTTTTTAGAATTGTAATGCCTTCTTCCGTAGCTCAAATAGCTGTTAAACTCATTTTTCGTGGCTCGGATTCAACCGAACCGCTGAGAGAGTAACATTCGGGTCGCATTTGCCACTCGTATTCTTTGCAAATTCCGTGCGTCTTACTCCCAGGCTGGCCCGGAACTGCCAGGCCGGCCTTATCTACGGATTCGCATTCACGTGAAGTAGATTTAGGCGACATGAATGATCAATCCTCGTTTCGTCCTCTGCATCTCCGTAAGACCCGTTACGGCGCCGTAATTTTACGGTACGGCCCGTACCGTACGGGACTTGCGTAACGGTCCGTAACGTGATTCTGCCCATCTATGCTCAGGCTTGACCTAACCTGGCGGGTAGCCTATCGAGGAGGCTACTCGATAGGAAATCTAAGAACTACGTTGCCTCGTCTAAGGGTTTCGGCTAAGCCCTGAAACTCGAACTAAGTTGTTCATCCATCCAGTCAAGTGGATTGTGTTAATGCTTACACCCATGCAATGAGTATCTACCTACCAAGCTCTAATTTTGTGTTGATCATGGCTAAGGAACAGATGAAGGTCGGTACTGTTGTTTTGCTGCCGATCATGCAATAGTTTCATAGCGTCTGTTTGTTACCATCTCAATCACTAGCTTTTAGCTAGCGAATCTGTCAAGTCGGGTATGTGCTACAGCAGAGAGCATTGATACGCAACGGATGTCCAAAATATATTGTAGCGACGTGGAATTTCCACGTCGCTACGGGATATCTTCTACGGTGGAAACCTGGGTCACGAAGGTTGAAGTCCCCAAATAGATATGTGCACGATCAGATGTTTCGATCGATCGAGTCTCATCGTAAGAAGCCGAGTTGATACTGTGAGTGACACTCACTAAGTGTCCCCCATATATGAACGCAGCAACATCCACAGGATTGAAGGATATGGAAGCGTATCATATTGGTCTTGTTCAATACCATAATCAGCCACTACATAATCATTGACAGCCCAGCAATAGTAGACCATGAGCCCAGCGGAATCTTCACTCTTTGGCGCTCCTCGAGTTAAAATGTACTCGTGAACAAGCTAAATACCGCACTGAGTGATGCGCAGACCTGCATCCCGATGAAGAATAGAAAGCAGGAGTCCGCAAACCATATTGCCGCCATATTAAAGAAGGATATGAATAACGCGAAAAAGTAAATAGATTAATGGTGTCGTCAAAAGTCTTCGTATCATCCAAGAAATATGAACGGTGCGTGAAGCATCAGAATTGTGGTAGAGAAACTATCCCCACCCACTTCACCGCACCGCCTAAGCATAGAAAGATGATGCTGCATAGACTCACACAGTGTGAATCACCCTATAATATTGTCCAGCAAATAACCGCGGATAGCATACTTGTCGTAATATTTGATTTTTTGAGTCAAATCATCGAAGAAGTATTCCAACTTGAAACCCCAACCATCTTTTCTCTTCTCCATGTAAAGGTCTGTTGTTGAAAAGAAATTGACCTCTTCTGCATTGGTGGCGGGCTTGTGAGTAGCAGTTAAGAACAGGCCGGATGAGGTAGCCATACCTTTTAGAGTATCTACCCCCCAAATATGGACAACACTCCCCTTGTTAGGAATAAAACCACCCTCAATAATTGGAGTGTAGACCATCATTCCAGTGCCATAAGAGCGTTTCACGTTGCCCCCGCCTATGGACAAGTAGAATTCTCGCTTTTCATCGCCGACACTCAGGTGAGCCAATCCATACGTCTCAACTTCGGCACCGATGAACTTGGGTTGGAGCAGGGAGATGTTAAACATCAAAGTGACGTTTATTTGCATGGTGCCAGCTAAATTATGCCTGTTGGTGTTGAGTATGATACCGGCAGTTTCTCTATAAACCCGAGCTTCTCTTGCACCGACTGTGTATCCCTTCACGTTGTAAATGCAGCAAGGCGCTTGAAGCTCGGCAATGTTGCTTCCATCCCCTGGACCAGGGCCTCCATAACAACCGGCTGGATAGTCAGCGGTAATTTGGTAAGGGATGTCAGGTTGTCTCTGGGCTGCTGTTTGCGTCACAATGGCAACCAAGAAGAGGCCGTAGGGGAAAGGCATTACGAATAAGACTTAACCTGAAGAGTTTGTTGATGAGAGTCCAAGGGTTGTAGGGAGGAAGGAGGCAGTTCTCGAACAGCGAGAAGAAAAAACCTCTGGTTCATGGAGGCGGTGACACCCTCT